CCTCTCCCCAATAGAAGTTTTTTAAAATCTTGAGATAAAGCCCGAAAAGGAAAGCTTAAAGAAAACAGTATCTATTAACGGTGAGCTTAAATTTTTTCTCCAACGAACTCGTATTCAAACGAGAGTTCAATCCCATGTTTAGGGAGAATCAAAAGAAAAGTTGTTAAAAAGTAGAGCTTAATTTATTAGAAGGGTCTCCAAAATTCCTCTCGAAGTTGAAAACACACCCTTTTCCCCACTCTTGGGGAGCCCACATGCTACCTTTATGTAGTGTATATATATATCCACACAGCTCTAAACCCTTCCCCTTCAGTGATCCATCTTCTTCACTCAATACCCACTTCACATTCCCACCATTACACTCACAATTTACACCAACAGAGCAAAATGGCTACCACAACAACTGATAAAGTCATGGAAACAGTGATCGCCGGAAACTATGTCGAAATGGAGGCCGACGGCAACCGTTCCAACGCCAAAACCAAGCTCTCCACACTCTTCTGGCATGGCGGTTCCGTTTACGACGCCTGGTTTAGCTGCGCTTCAAATCAGGTATATATCCCTCTTCGATTTAGCCCCCATTGAGCTTCTGGGGTTTGATCATTTCGCTTCCAAATCACAGGTCGCTCAAGTTCTGCTCACTTTACCCTATTCATTTTCCCAACTGGGAATGCTCTCTGGCGTGCTGTTTCAAATCTTCTATGGCTTGCTTGGTAGCTGGACGGCGTATTTGATTAGCGCCCTCTATATCGAATACAGAACAAGAAAAGAAAGGGAAAAAACCGATTTCAGAAACCATGTGATCCAGGTTCATAATCTCAACCCTTTGGAACCCTTTTAGATGGCTTGATTTCTTATGGGGTTGCTTGTTTTTGTAATGTTCTTCAGTGGTTTGAAGTTCTTGATGGGTTGCTTGGGAAACATTGGAGAAACATGGGTTTGGCATTTAATTGCACATTCCTTCTGTTTGGATCTGTGATTCAATTAATAGCTTGTGCAAGGTATCATGAATTGGTTCTTTTAGTGTTTGTTCTTGTTTGTTTGCTTGTTTTTGGTTCATCTTAAGCTTGGGATTGTTTGGTTTGCAGTAATATCTATTACATAAATGACAACCTAGACAAGAGAACTTGGACATATATCTTTGGAGCTTGTTGTGCCACCACTGTCTTTGTTCCTTCCTTTAGAAACTATAGAATTTGGTCTTTTCTGGGTCTGTTGATGACCACTTACACAGCTTGGTACCTCACCATTGCCTCGATCATCCATGGACAGGTATCAAATATTGCACTAAACTAAGCTTCATTGGGCGTGGTAATGGAGATTCTTTGTTGTTTATGGTTTGATGATGGATTTGTAGGTGGAGGGAGTTAAGCACTCTGGTCCGACCAAGCTGGTTCTTTACTTCACTGGAGCTACTAACATTCTTTACACATTTGGTGGGCATGCTGTTACAGTGTAAGACAATGTCGTGGTCTTTTATGTTGTGAATGTTTTGTTTTTGGTTTTGTTGGCGTCTTCAAAACTGCATTGTTTGGTGGCATCTATGAACGTCTTGGTTGATGGTGTCTTTGTAACTTTGTCTTTACACCCATCTGTGTAGCAGTATTCATCTTGCCTCCTTTATGAATTAATATTTGGAATTGTAGATATACTTTTTGAATTGAGTTGTCCTTATCAGCTGAGAGAGAGTATAAAAGATATCATCTTTTGGAAAACCCTTTTTGTTTCTTAGTTTGTCTCTCTCTCTCCATGGCCTTTCTCCTAGATTCGTTTTGAGAGTAGAACGAAACATTCTTTGTAGGGGTGTGAAAATTTCTCTCTAGCAGACGCGTTTTAAAAACCATGAGAGGAAACCCAAAGAGGACAATATCTACTGGCGGTGGGTTTGGGCTGTTACAAATGGTATCAAAGCCAGATATTGGGCGATGTGCCTCACTTTGAAGGGGGGTGGACACCAGGCGGTGTGTCAGCAAGGATACTGGGCCTCGATTGAGGATGGATTGGGGGGTCCCACATTGTTTGGAAAGAGAAACAAGTGTCAATGAGAACGCTGGACCCCGAAGGGGGTGGACACTAGGCGGTGTGCCAGCGAAGACATTGAGCCTCGAATGAGGGTGGATTGGGGGTCCCACATTGTTTGGAAAGGGAAACGAGTGCTAGTAAGGACACTGGGCCTTGAAGGGAGTGGATTGAATCTCGAAGGGGGTGGACACTAGGTGATGTGCCAGCATCTTCGCAGAGCCTCGAATGGGGGTGGATTAGGGGGTCGCACATCGTTTGGAAAGGGAAACGAGTGCCAATAAAGACGCTGGACCTCGAAGGGGGTGCATTGTGAAATTCCAAATCACTTATAAAGTGGAACAAAACATTCTTTACAAAGGTGTAAAAAAAACCTCTCCCTAAGATACGTGTTTTATCAATTCAGTCTTCAAAACAAGACTTGGAACTCCAATTATTTTGTAGTATTCAATGGAATTAGCTAAGGAAAAGGTGTTTGGTTGGTGGGAAAATGCAGGGAAATCATGCATGCAATGTGGAAGCCACAGAAATTCAAGGCAATTTACTTGGTGGCCACAGTGTATGTGCTAACACTGACACTCCCATCAGCAGCCGCCGTGTATTGGGCATTTGGAGACATGCTTCTTAATCACTCAAATGCCTTCTCACTTCTCCCAAGAACACCCCTCAGAGACATGGCTGTCATCTTAATGCTCATCCACCAGGCATAATCATATCACCATTTCCTTTACTTAACACACATCTTTTGTTCTATAACATCAAAATAAGGCTGATTTCTTTGTAATTCTTGCAGTTCATCACATTTGGATTTGCTTGCACTCCTCTGTACTTTGTGTGGGAGAAAGCCATTGGAATGCACGAATGTAAGAGCTTGTGCAAAAGGGCAGCTGCGAGATTGCCTGTGGTCATTCCCATCTGGTTTTTGGCTATAATCTTCCCTTTCTTTGGCCCTATCAACTCCACCGTTGGATCTCTCCTTGTTAGCTTCACAGTCTACATCATCCCTGCTTTAGCTCACATGTTCACCTTCCGATCACCTGCTTCCCGTGAGGTACGCCGCACTGGAATGTTTCTCTTTCTCTCCATGTTTTGGTAACGTGCTGTCACAGTCTAGCAGACAAGCGGCTCAGTCTCCCATGTCTCTGTCTTAGTAGTTTAAAAAAGATACTGTCTTTGGAATTGCCCTCTCCGAGAAAAGTTGGGGAAAAAAAAAAGGCACGAGATTCTGCAAAAGATATCTGTTTTTTTTATGGTTTAACTTTGTTGCTGCAGAATGCGGTGGAGCAACCGCCTAAGTTCACCGGAAGATGGGTCGGAGCTTACGTGATCAATGCATTCGTGGTGGTTTGGGTGTTGGTAGTTGGGTTCGGGTTTGGCGGGTGGGCTAGCGTGACTAATTTCATACATCAAATAGACTCATTCGGGCTTTTCACCAAGTGTTACCAATGCATGCCACAGACAACCGCTCTCCCACCGTCGTCGCACAACGTCACGGCTGCACCACCACCGCTGCTGCATCAGCACCACGTCCACCATATTGGTAGCCATTGATGAAATAGTTGAGGTTAAGGGATGATTGGGATGTGTTTTCTATGCACCGTACTGCAGCCTAGGGGGGGAATGTGGCTCTTGTTCATCCGAAATAGTACACTATCATTATCCACAGTCTCTTTTTACTTTGGCGTGGGTCTCTTCTTCTTCTTTAATGGTACCTAAAAAAGAAAATGCAAGAACCTACCTGCACCCAAATCACCAAGTAAATCATAGTTTTGGTTAGAGTGGCCGAAATATAAGTTTTCAAATGGGTTTATAGAATTGTGTTCAAAGTAAGGCTGCATCGCTGAGCAAGTGAAAAAGAAGGAAAAAAAAGCATTGCTAAGTAACCTGTAAGTAACTTTCAATGTAACATTATAAGCCCATGCCAATTGATATTATCCATCTTGGCACGTTATGTATCATTATCAATCTCACAGTTTAAAATCTGTCAATTAGAGAAAGGTTTTCACACCTTTACCGGGATTGATTCGTTTCCCTCCCCAACCGATGTGAGATCTCATAATCTACCTTCCTTTGGGGGCCTAGCGTCCTCGCACACCACCCAATGTTTGTTCTACTTTCCAACCAATGTGAGATCACATTACACCTCCAAGGGCCTAGTGTCCTCGATGGCACACCACCCCGTGTCTATTCCCCTCTCCAACCGATGTGCGATCTCACAATCCATTCCCTTTAGAGCCTAGTATCCTCGCTAGCACACTACTCAATGTCGAGCTCTGATACTATTACCATTTGTAACAGCCCAACCCTACTATTAGTAAACATTGTCTGTTTTGGCCTATTACGTATTGCCGTCATCCTAACAATCTTAAAACGCATATGCCAGAGAGAGGTTTCCACACCCTTATAAGAAATGTTTCGTTTCCTCTCCAAACATCCTCCCGATTTTAAAACGCATATACTAGGGAGAGGTTTCCACACCCTTATAAGAAATGTTTCGTTCCCCTCTCCCACCGATGTGGGATCTCACAAGGAGACTCGGGAGATTCAAGAAGCATGTGACTCTTGAAATAAAAATGAAGCAATCCCATTTTCTTCCTACATCAACAAGATGATATTGAGAATCCATTCAAACCCATAACCAGAAGTAATGGAATCTTGCATAATAAAGAACACTACTATAAACAGTTTAAAGGGCATTTCGTGAACAGTAATGGAAACAGACGAGTTTGCAATCACTATTCACTTGTTTTCACAATTAGGAAAAACATCTCAATCAATGAACACACAGCTCTTCCACAAAAGTGAAACCACTTTACTCCTTTCCAGCCTGCATTTCCCTTTCTCAGTCTCTGTTCATTCCATCAATAATTGCATAGGAAAAAAATAAAGCAGATAAAAGCAGAGTCCCCATTGCATTGAATCAATCAAAGAGTTATTTGTCAATCAAAATGAAATGGAAAAGAGATATCAGATATGGATCATTCAATCATTCATCCAAAATCAGAAGGCATTGTATACGAAATAGTTCTATCAACAGTTAAAGAAACAGAGAATCAAGGAACGTTCATCCTCCCATTGATCATCTATTTTTTCTAAGGATCGCTGATAAAAATACCCCTAAAATCCATGAAACGAACATCATTCAATACCCAAAAGACAGTAAACAGATACTAAACTAATGGTAATCCGTGATAAAAGGTAATCAAACCTTACAAACGTAAAGGAAAATCGAACAAAACACCCCCAGATTCGAGCAAACAAAAGTAAATCGCCTCGCCTTGTTGTTATAGTCAGCAATTTAAGCGATCAACGGCCACTGCTTTGACAATCTCTAGCGAAATGCCCAGATTCACCACAGCTATAGCAGTTTCCACCGCCACCGCCGCCGCCGCCTCCGTACCTATCTCCACCACCTTGAGATCCCCCCTGGTAGCAGTCTCTCGCCATATGCCCAGTTTCACCACACTTAAAACAACCACCCCCGCCGCCTCCTCCTCCATACCCTCCGCCTCCACGGCCGTACCCACCTCGGCCACCTCCGCCTCCGCCATTAAACCCATATCCACCACCTCGACTCCCTCTTTCACCACCGCCGCCGCCGCCGCCACCGCGACTTCCCTGCACAGAAGATTCTCCAGGTCCAGTGACATCAATGGCCTTGCAACGGCCATCGGCTTCAGGCTCGATCAGAAACTCAACATCCTCACCGACGCCGAGGCTCCGAAAACCGTCGGATCTAATGGAGGACTGATGAACGAAAAGATCTTCGCCTCCCTCGTTGGGAGAAATGAAGCCATAGCCCTTCTGGTCACTGAACCACTTCACCTTTCCACTGACCCTCTCGCTCATTTCTCGATCTCTCTCAGACCCAACAATTGCAAAACCCTAATAACCCAAATTTCTCTCGGAATGAAATGGGTTTTATATATATATATATATATATAATCGAAAAGCTTGGAAACGGGAAGACCGCCCCGTCATCCGTAAACGACGTAATTTTCCATTTAAGATTTCGTGGGGTCATATTCTTCGATTCTGACCGTCCGATTCTCAACGACGCGGGCGGTTTCCGACGAGATCTGACGGCCAGGGATCTTCCTCTTCTCTTCTTTGGAACGGAGCATTTCACCGTGGGATTTGCGACGGAAGTCTGAACGGCTAAGGGTACTTTTGGGAATTCATCCCTAAATTATTTTCTTTACCGTTTTTTTGGAATATTTTATTATTATTTGTGATTTGACCTAAAATGGTTCGACCTCGAGATGTTCTTTTAACGTGTGTGAGAACAAAGCTTGTGGGGACCATCTCGAACGAGTTTGTCGAAATTAAAGATATGGGAACCACGACTCAAATTGCCCTCTACCTTCTTGAAGTGGAATGTTACCTTTAAGTAATTCAAATTCTCTAAGGTTCAGTGTTATTCGAAGACATTTTTTTCTTTGAGGGGAAGCTCGGAAGGGAAATCCTAAATATGACAATATCTACTAAAGATGGGATTGGACGGTTACAAATGATATCAAAGCCACGTTTTTTGCGGTGCGCCAGTAAAGACGTTGGGTTCAATGGGAGTGGATTGTGAGATCCCACATCGGTTAGATTTCAGGCGGTGCACCAGTGAGAACTCTGGGCTTAAAGAGAGTGAATCATTCTTTATAAGGGTTGAGTTGAGTTATTTTTCTAGAACTGAACTAATTCGATTTTCGAGTTCAAGGAAAAAGAAAAAAAGGGTCCACCCAAACCGACGTGGGGGCATCCACCACATCACACACCACACCGCCTATCGTAGTCACACACAACCATACTGCTTGTTGCCACGCCGTTTTTGCTCTCGGTTAGAGCTGCCACATCACACACCTAACAAGTCCATAGCATATCGTAGTTGCACCACCTATTGTAGTCACCCACATCGCACAATCCCTCGCAATCACACACACCACACCGCTAGCTCACCATGTTACTTTTGTTATCCCTTAGCCACACATTGAATGGTTGCTCCTAATTTTGCTCGTCGCTAGCTATTGCACACCTACATCACTTATAGATGCACACTCCTCCCTTTCCCACTCCCGGTCGTCCACCCAACCAATATAAATTAAAAAAAAAATTAAAATATATATTTCTACAACTCGGTAACCCAACTCATCCTTTTAAGTAGAGTTAGAACATAGAATAATTTAAGATTACTCGAGCCATCAATCACCCAATATTTGGACGTATTTTAGATATCTATCCAACAATATGAACATAGCTCAATAAAATTTTAGGCCGATTTAACCAAGCGTTTGGTGGTTCCCTGCAACAGCGTAGGAGCGAACACCGAACAACTAGACACAGAGCCCTGAGGCTGAGGCTGCGAAATTAGGCGATGACGAGAAAGAAGAGGAAGACGAGAGAGGCAGCCACAATCCACCCTAGAAACAAATACGCTGAAAATCCCCCAGATTTTGCTCTCTTAGCCTCTCTATACCCTTCCTTTCAACCCTTCGTCTTCCTTGAGCCCCGACCCAGAATCGACTGGACCGACTTCAACGCCACCCGTGAACTTACCCGGGTTTTGCTTCTCCACGACCACGCTCTTCACTGGTATCACTCCTTCCCCATAGCTGATAGTTCGAGTTTCTGTCGATATGAGAATTGTGCTGTTTTGCTTTCTTTAGTTCTCTTTTCTGCTTCGAACTTGGGGGCTTAGTTAAATTTTGACTTCCATTATTGCGAGGCTCTGATGAAAATTTTAGTGGGGAGAGAAGGGGTTGGCTTCCTCTGGATGCATTTATCTTTTTGTTAGGATTTTGTAGGATTAATGGCTAGTTTTATCCCTTTTGAAGTGATTATGAGATGCAATTTAGCCGTCCATCCTATGTTAGGAAACACGACTCTCCACAATGGTATGATATTGTCCACTTTGAGCAAAAGGCCTCATACCAATGGAGATGTATTTCTTACTTATAAACAGCCGGATGTGGGACTCCCTCCCAACAATCCTCCCCTCGAACAAAGTACACCATAGACCCTCTCTAAGGTCTATGTAGCCATCGAACAGCCTCCCTTTAATCGAGGCTCAATTCCTTTCTCTAGAGCCCTCGAACAAAGTACACCCTTTGTTCAACACATGAGTCACTTTTGACTATACCTTCGAGACTCGCAGTTTCTTTGTTTGACACTGGAGGATTCTATTGACATGGCTAAATTAAGGGCATGACTCTGATACCGTGTTAGAAACTACGACTCTCCCTAATGGTATGATATTGTCTACTTTGAGCATAAGCTCTCATGGCTTTGTTTTGGGCTTCTACAAAAGGCCTCATACCAATGAAGATGTATTCCTTACTTATAAACCCATGATCATCCCCTAAATTTTGGGACTCCCTCCCAACAATTCTCACCTTGAACAAAGTACACCATAGAGCCTCCCCTGAGGTCTATGTAGCTATCGAACGTCCTCCCCTTAATCGAGGCTCAACTTCTTTCTCTAGAGCGCTCGAACAAAGTACACCCTTTGTTCTACTTTGTTCGACACATGAGTCACTTTTGACTACACCTCGAGGCTAGCAATTTCTTTGTTCGACACTTGAGGATTCTATTGACATGACTTTGATACCATGTTAGAAACTACGACTCTCCACAATGATATGACATTGTCCACTTTGAGCATAAGCTCTCATGGCTTTGCTTTGGGCTTCCTGAAAAGGCCTTGTACCAATGGAGATGTATTCATTGCTTATAAACCCATAATCATTCCTAAATTAGCCAACATGGGACTCCCTCCCAACAATTCTCAACATCCTAGTGGTAGGATCAATACAATCCAAATCCATGTCAATATGATCAAGAGGACCAACAATATGAAAATGTTTTTTTTTGTCCAATTCGGATGTCTTTATAGATTTTTACGTATCAGGTGGATTCCTGATGGACAGCTCTGCCCAACAGTACCCAATAGATCAAATTATATCCATTGGCTTGAAGATCTTTTGTCATCTGATGTCGTTGCAAAGGCAAATAGTGATAGAGGTAGTAATGTAAGAGGTTTTGACATAGGAACGGGGGCAAATTGCATTTACCCTCTTCTTGGTGCCTCTCTTCTCGGGTGGAGTTTCGTCGGGACAGGTGACTTCCTTACCATATCGTTGCTTTTGTTCTTAAATTTCTATGTTATCCATTGATTTGTATGTTTAACAATGACCAGGTTTCGGGTTCCACTCGACTTTGTGCAGATGTGACTAATGTAGCGCTAGAGTGGGCTGAAAGAAATGTCAAAAGTAATCCACATGTTTCTGAACTTATTGAAATTAGAAAGGTAGATGATACCTTAGACGGTCTTACGATAGAATTACGTAGTAATGTAGCTGTTGATAATGAATGCAAGATTATGAATGGTATGGACGGTAGGGAAGTAGGGCCATCCCCGCCCTCATCCTCGTCAAAGGAGACGATCCACTCGGAGAAGCGATATCATGGTCCTCCCATTCTTCTTGGTGTTGTCAAAGATGGTGAGGAGTTTGACTTTTGCATGTGCAATCCTCCTTTTTTCGAGAGTATGGATGAAGCGGGATTGAATCCAAAGACTGCTTGTGGTGGAACTCCACAAGAGATGGTTTGTCCGGGCGGGGAGAGGGCATTTATCAGTCGTATGATCGAAGACAGCATCGTCTTGAAGCAAACTTTCCGGTATTTCTACTGCAAAATGGCCTCTGATTCTTCAATACTCCTTTTAGGAATCTTATCTAAATTGATCTTTGCAGGTGGTATACTTCAATGATTGGGAAGAAATCAAACCTCAGCTTCCTGATATCTAAACTTTGGAAAGTCGGAGTGACAGTTGTCAAGACTACAGAATTCGTCCAAGGCCAAACTTGCCGGTGGGGACTTGCTTGGTCTTTTATGCCTGCAGGACGGAAGATTATATCTCCGCACGTCACTAACAAGAGCGTTTCGTCTTTCATGCTCGAGGTGGACAAACGTTTGAGCTTTTTTAATCTTCATGTTAGGCTTTCAATCAAATCTTTCCCATGTAGCTCAGTTTTGATATCTTTCTGTTGTCAGGGCCTCCTTCCACAAGTCAGTGCCACGAGTATACTGCAATCAGTGGAACGTTTTCTTAGCGTCGGTGGAGCTTCTTGTAAACTGAACACTTCTTCATTTACAGTAGATGTATGGTTGTTCACTTGGCTTCTCTTTTATCTTTGCAAGTGACGATATCATGCTTACAAGTTCTGTTACCACACATGTTTCGGTAGGTTACTGCATCTAACGATCACTGCCGAGCAATTCTTGAGAACGGGGCGTATGAAGTCGACAAAGGTGCCAGTGGAGTAGCTGTCGAAAAGTCCGAGCCTCAACCCTCAGCTGATCTGTGTTTTCGAGTTTCGGTATCTCCCGCTTGTCATTTTGTGGTTATGCAGCTTCATCAGTAATGCTTAGGAGTTGAAGTTAGGCCCATACTTTTTTATTGTGGTAATTTTCTTTGTTATAGGTCTTTCAACAGATCCCTGGCACGCTTCTTGTGAAAGGCTCCTTGCATCATAAGAGTAGTCCTTCTTCAGGTACTACTCACTCATGCCTTGGATCCTTCTTTTGATTATTGTTTCTGTGGACTTCTCCAGCTCTTGGGTTGGTGTAGATTTAATCTTTTGAGTCTATTTTCATTTTATGCTCTCTTCCACATGTTTGGCTCGAATATTTGCACGAGGATCAACATGTTAGGATCTCGAACACACGGAAATTGCACGAAACACAAAAATAAAACTATATTGCAATGCATAATATGAATAGCCTTTCAAGAGGGCTATGTCTCTTGTGCAAGCCATCTACAATGGACTGATTGCCACTATACCCGTACTAATACCCTACTAATATTCCCAATACATCGTACTCTCACACTCACACAACACTAATGTGAGATCCCACGTTGGTTGGAGAGGAGAACGAAG